AAATGGGGTGAATACTTCTCATATAACTGATTTACTGGTAGTCTCGAAACTCCAGTTAAATAGAAAATGGATATTTCAGAATAATTTCCGAACTTGTTAACAACATTCTTATTCAGATGATGCAAATCTGTGAAAGGCTTTGCAACAGTGTAAAGTAAGCCTAAAAGTGAAATATTTCACTATTTGTGAAAACGAAAAGTCATATAACGGCTGATCTAAAAGTGTATCTTTTGCCCACAATATTAGTAAATCCATATGATCAGGCAGATGGTGAAAATGGAATGAGTGAGGGATCCTGGGGCTTACATCAAAATTTTGAATAGGAAAAAGTTAACTTTATGCTTATTTTGTGAGCAAACCTGGCCCCCATCGCTATCGCATTCACTTTGGCTAGAGACATGCCGTCTTTTACCGGTGGTTCAAAGCATACTTGCCGATTATACCCAATTGCCAGATTGGCTGCAAAGTTCTGTAATGAGGCACTTGGCCATTAAATGTCTCCCAGTTTACGGCCATTTCCATACCAATGGAAAGGCTTCTCTTGCTGGGCTTCGTGATACTGTGGCTAGATTTGCAAGTGAGGCATTGAACAATACGAGGTTGGGTGAAGACAGGAAAGCGCTTTTTGTAGAGAGCTGTATGGAAAAGGGTTTTTGGCCAGTCTGGCTAGAAGGTTAGTACAAAGAAAAGTTCTAATGTTGCTTTTATCTCGTTTTCCCAGCTTGGTCTGCGTTCTCTGTTATAGCATTAATGAAGAAAAGTTGGGTTTCGAAAAATCTCTTGTTTCAACTCATCTGAGAATCGCCAAGTAATGAACCATATGGTAACCTGAATGACTTAGATTTGTCTAGAGAAACTCAGCTGTTGAGCTTACTTCCATTTCGAGTGGAAGTGTTGGGTGAAGAGATTCGAAGGTCGGTTCCACCAGAAGATGACGGAAGATTTTTATTGACCAGCTGTCGATCGGCTTTACTGGAAGATTCATGCTGACGCTTTTTCTGAGGCACTCTTCTTCGATTCCGGTGAAAACGTGCTAGGCTTTCGTCCGTCATATGACGGACATCATCAGAGCGAGATGAGATCGTAACAACAAAATTCAAGCTAACGAGTCAAGAAAACTCACCGGCAAATCCCTAAAAAGTGGTATATA